TTTGAAAAACGGTAAAGAAAAAATATGTTTGAGAATATTTGCACTTATTTAAGATTCACCCTGTATATTATTACCTATATTAAAAGAATATATAAATATAAACTTTCAATTATTTTTGAATATTCTTTTTGTAACAAGCATAACTAAATATACCCAAATAAAATGCAACACCCATAATCTTTTAGGTATATTTCATTTATTTATAAAGTTATAAATCAAATATTAACTAATTATATATAGGGGTAGATATAGTTTAATAGAGGTATAGATATTATTTAAATATAAATAATATCTATACCTCTTTTGGTAAATTTGTTTCACGAAAACGAGCTGAAAAAATATTGAAAAAAATGACAGAAAATACAATTTAACTGCAGATTAAAGTGGCAAATTACAACAACCGCTGTCGTTACCTTCTGCTGGACAGACTTTTAATTTGACTATTTAACGATAGTCATAGCTAAAAGAAATAAATTATAAATTATGACTCTATAGAATTATGAGTCTATCACGTCAATAATTTAATAGACTTGTATGTTAAACACAATAACCGTTTTCAAAATAGTTATGGGTTAACTATTAAGCATATTTTATACAAAGTCTAATAGTTACTTATTACCAACCTGATACAACTTCTATTTTTTTATTTTCTCTAAATAAAAGTGGGAGACAAAGAAAAAATACTTATAATAAATTATTATAAAATGTAAATCACAGATCGTTCAATTATGAAAATTCTAATTGCAATACTAAAATTTTAGCAATTAAATACTATCTATATACTATCTTATATGTATACTATATTTTAAGATTTTTATATTTTATATTTATTATATTAAATAGTTTTTCTTTATTTTGTTTTCGCGCTTTTGACAACAGATCTGAAGAAATATATTTCTTAAAATTTTAATTGTTCCTCTAACTTTAACTGTTTATGTTTTGTTTATTTCTAATTCAGTGGCATTTTTTAAAAAAATGTAAGCAAAACATATTTTTTATATCTGTTTAAGAGGCTAAATGTCAAAATCCTTTTGCAAAAGTATTTTGTTATTAAAATTTTTCAATTAGTAGGTCTTTATTGTGCTTTAAGTAGGTCTTTATTGAGCTTTACAATATTTTTGTTCTAAATCGAGAGAGTTTCTATTATTTCTTGAAGATATTTAAAGAAAACTTTATTTTTGTGATTTGGTCTTTACTCTTTTTCTGTTTTTATTTTGAAAGTAACGTCAAAATAAAAAAATACATTATCTCATCAAATCGATGTATTTTTTTTCGTTGTTCAAAGTTTTAGCTGTTTTCCATTTTACTTTTAATATCAGAAAACATATATGTTGTATTTATTAATTCTATACATTTATATCTTATTACTGAATACTATAGAATCTTATTATTAATTATTAAAGTTCGTGAACTTACGAATCAAAAATATAATATTTGCTTCTATAATATATATGTATATATCTTATTATTTAATAAACCAATGAAAAATTATACTATTATCTGATATATCATGTATAAATATTACTGTGTATTAATAGGAGTGGTGCATTAATAAGTTTAAAACTGACAGAAATCCCAATGAGGAATACTACTTTTATTTACAAATAGACCAAATAAATTCTTGCTTTGATAACTTGGTGTATTCAAAAATATTTAAATTGCCATTTCAGCGACACTAAACTCATTTTACTTCTGTGTGACTTCCAAATAGAGTTATTTAAATTAGTATATAAAATGTATCAATATTTTCAACCAAGAATATAATTTAATAAAGTTTCCTGAAATTCAGTATCTAACTGATTAGTTTCAATGTAAAATCCTTGTATTTCAAGTTTTTGAAAACATCCATTTAAACTACCAGCAGTTTTAAAATAATAAAACATTTAATTTATGTTACACCTTGTTTCAGTTTATTCAACAGTTTGGTTAACATAAATCACAATTTTAAAACAAAACTTTTATATAGTTTAAAATATCGGCTTGTATATTTACAGAATGATCTACCAAATAATATTTTATCTGCTAATACTTACGGCTGCAGTAAAACCACAAAGTATCATTGAAGCGAGTGGTTTAGATAATTTTGACGAAGACAAAACTAAAAAAAAATATAAATAATATCTATACCTCTTTTGGTAAATTCGTTTCACACAAATTGGCTGAAAAAATATTTAAAAAATGACAGAAAATACAATTTAACTGCGGATTAAAATGACAAATAACAACAGTCACTGTCGTGTATTCTCTTGGTGGACAGACTTTATAATTTTAATTTGACTATTTAACGACAGTCATAGATAAAAGAAATAAATTATGACAATGAGTCTATCACGTGAATAACTTAATAGACTTGTATGTTAAATACAATAAGTGTTTTAAAAACAGTTATGGTTTTACTATTAAGCATATTTTATACAAATTCTAATAATCACTTATTACCGACCTGATGCAACTCTTATTTTTTTTAGTTTATTTAAGAGAAAAGTGGGAGACAAAGGAAAAATACTTATAATAAATTATTATAAAATATGAATCCGAGATCGTTCAATTGTGAAAATCCTAACTGCAATACTAAAATTTTAGCAATTAACTATCGTAGATATTTAATACTAAACATTTATATATTTTATGTTTATTATATTAAATATATTTTTTTTTTATTTTGTATTTATGCTTTTGACGACAGATTTGAAGAGATATATTTCCTAAAATTTTAATTGTTTGTTTTTGGTTAAGCAAATTTGTTTACAGGTATAAAGCCACTGTTCTAACTCTTAATAGTAGATTATTTTCTTTTATCTATGGTTCTAACTCACTGACATTTTCGGAAAAATAACTATACATTTATAGTTTTCTGTTTAAGTGGCTAAATGTCAAAACCTTTTTGCAAAAGTATTTTGTTATTGAAATTTTTCAATTTTTAAATCAATTTTTAAAAAATCACAGGCTTGTGAGTATCAGTTTCCTGTATTTAGTGTCAACAATAACACTTTATAAGAATGTCAACCATAAAAGATAATACAGAATTACAGAGACAATACACAATTACAGAGAAAAAACTAGGTCTTTATTGAGTTTTACAATATTTTTTTGTTCTAAATTGAGAGAGTGTCTATTATTTCTTGAAGATATATTTAAAGAAAACTTTATTTTTCTGATTTGGTGTTTACCCTTTTTCTGATTTTATTTTAAAACTAACATCAAAATAATAAAATAAACACATTATCTCCGCAAATCCATGTAATTTTTTTCTTTGTTCAAAGTTTTAGCAGTTTTCTATTATCAACGACTGTGTTTAATAGCAGCAACATATCAGAACATAAATAGAATATTATGTTGTATTTATTAATTCCATATATTTATGTCTTATAACTGAATACTATAGAAACTATATACAGAGTCCTTTTTATGTATAAAAACGGTCGATTATTAGGTAAAATATAGGAGGTACCGCAAAAAGTTAAATACAAATGTTATAGGATTTTTAAATATCTATTAGCGAGTAATAAATTTAAGTATACAAGGTCGGTCATAAAGTGGTGGCCCACAAAAGATTCATTTTTTTAAATAGAACCTCCTGTATATTATTGCATATTTCAATTCTTACTTCAATTCTAAGCAAAAATCGAAATACACAAAATGTACCGCAAATCAACCGTTTCCGAGTTATTGACTTTTGAAAATATTACTTAAACAATTTGATTTAATTAATTTCGATACGTTCAATTTCATTTAACGATCCCATTCTGCCGAAACTGTAATACTTAATAATATTTGTCATTAGTTCTCAAGTTAGCATTTATAGATGTATAAAATGAGATGATATCAAGTCTGGAAATTACAAAATTTTTGTTTAACATTCCAATTCTTCAATTATTGTACATTGTGTATTACGATTATTGTGTATTATGAGATTGAAGGAAGAATTGAAATATGCAATAAAATATACAGGAGGTTTCATTTAAAAAATATAAAATTTGAAGTTCCACAACTTTATGACCAACCCCGTATACTTAAAATTACTAGTAGCTAATAGCGATTTAAAAACCCATTACAACAGTATCACAGTTTCGGCAGAATGGCATCATTAAATGAAATTGAACATATCGAAATGAATTAAATAAATTTGTTTAAGTGATATGTTCAAACTTCAATAACTCGGAAACGGTTGGTTTGAGGTACATTGTGTGTATTTCGATTTTTGCTTAAAATTGAAAGAAGAATCGAAATATGCAATAATATACAGGGTTCTATTTAAGAAAAATAAAACCTTGATGTGCCACGACTGTATGACCAACCCTGTATACATAAATTTATTACTCGCCAATAGACATTTAAAAACTCTATAAATTTTGTATTTAACTTTTTGGGGTACCTTGTATATTTTATCTAATAATCGACCGATTCCATACATAACAGCAACCGTGTATTATTAATTTTTAAACTTCGTAAACTTACGAATCAAAAATATAATATTTGCTTCCAATATCTATGTATATCTTATTATCTAACAAACCAAAATGGAAAAGTATATTTTTATCTGATATATCATGTATAAATATTAGTGTGTATTAATAGTACTGTATATTAATAAGTTTAAAACTGACAGAAATCCCAAAAGACTGGAAAAACTTACTTTTATTTACAAATAGACCAAATAAATCCTTGCTTTGATAACTTGATATATTCAAAAATATTTAAATTACCATTTCAGCGACACTAAACTCATTTTACTTCTGTGTGACTTCCATAGAAAGTTGTACTAAGAAAATAATTTAATGTAGTTTCCTGAAATTCAGTAACTGATTCGTTTCAAAGAAAAATCCTTGTATTGTAAGTTTTTTAAACTTCCATTTAAACTACCAGAAACTTTAAAAATAATAAAACATTTAATTTATGTTACACCTTGCTTCAGTTTATTCAAAAGTTTTGTTAACATAAATTTCAATTTTAAAACAAAACTTTTATATAGTTTAAAATATCGTCTTGTACATTTACAGAATGATCTGCCAAATCATATTTTATCTGCTAATACTTACGGCTGCAGTAAAACCACAAAGTATCATTGAAGCGACTGGTTTAGATAATTTTGACGAAGACAGAACTTTAAAATGCAACAAGAGACTTTACACATACAGGGTGTCGCAATTTGATCAAAATGGAAAGGAATGTTGGGATGTTTTAAGTGTGATGGCTTGTTGGGGCAGATGTGACTCTAATGAGGTAGTCAATACACACTTTTTACGTACTTAATTTTTTTTCTATGTAATCCTAAAAAGCGTAGCATTTTTTAAGGACATAAACAGAAATGATATAATTTTAGATACCTGATTTTCGTTTCCCATACAAGAAGTCAAATCATCCAGTATGTGTTCACTACGGAAGGAATAAAGCTTTTGTAATCTTAAGGAATTGTGAGGAAGGTGCTTTGCCTTCTGCTGCAAGGTAATACATATACAGGGTGTCCCAGACTGGGCGTGCATTAAAAGTTTCTAGAAAACATCAATATCTGGATCAGACATATTATTTTAAATGGGTACACAAGAGTTTTTGAGAAAAAAATATTCAAAATTTTTGGAGGAAAAAAAATGCCTGTCAAAGAAATCAGTATAGCATAAACGACAAATTTAGTGATTACCACAGCCACTGTGGCATAAAGAGAAGGCATGTGGCTATGTATTTCAAAAATTAAATTATTCGAATGCCATATAATATTTACCGCAGCTTTTACGGAATTGAGTGATTAAAAAATTATCAAAAATCATTTTTTCGAATGAAACCCCACTTTTTTACTTCACTAGTAAAAAGATTTTTTAATTCGTTACTTTTTCATTATGTTCCAATACCTAAAGTAAATCGTTTTTAAGAATAAAGCTTTAAAAAAAATAATCGGTAGTATATCTCCTTGTCAAACAGTAATGTGAAAAAAATCTTCGATCTAGATATTATAGTTCTCTAGAAACATCTCTTGCACGCTTAGCCTGGGACACCCTGTATATATAGTATAGAGAAAGTTTCCATCTTCTTCTATTAGTTACTGTTTCTTTTTTATCTACTTCTCTCTATACTATAGAGATAGGTCTATAGTATAGATATCTATATGTACTAATAAACTTGACAATTTAATACTAGACTTTGGTATAGTATTAGGTGTTCAAAAAATAAGTTTAATTCAATAGTTATGTCAACTGAAATAAACTATTTTTAGACATAAGTATTTGAGTTTAATGCAATCGGCAATCTTTATCTAAAATTTTCATTTTAAAATTCTTTATTTACTTGTCTACAATTGTTCGTGAAAAGTTGTTTTATTTTTTATTATTTTCTGGCAAATATTTATCTATTTATTTTATATTTAACTTACTCTTCCACTTAAAAAACACAACGTAAAAAAACAAGTAAATTATTAAATTAAAAATATCGAAAACATTATGATTAGATGTTAATACTTTAATATCACTAAAATCGTATCAAATAAGTTAATTAAGATACCGTATGATCGATAAAAAAAATGGTATCAAAGACGGCCCTATAATGACAATCGATGATAAATTTTAACAAGGTCAGTCTCTAGAAGTCGCATACTAAAAATTCACATAAAACTTGTTAAAAACTAAAACTAATTATAGAAAGATTAAAAAGGATAGAACGTTTCCAGACACACAAATTTATTTTTAAGAAGTTAATAACTAAAAAACTTTCAAAATTAAAAATCAATTTTAAACGATATAAAAATAAATTATACCTTCTAAGGCCAACTGGCCGTAAGTGCTATTAAAAAATAAAGAGGAGTATAAACCAAGTAAATGCCGTCTATAGCTTGATTTTTTTCTCAAATCGCCAAAATTTTTATCGATTTTTATTCCCTACCCGTCTTTAACGCGGTTTTTTATTGATCGTATGGTATATTGTTAATTAACTAATTTTATTTCTTATGCCGACTTGATGCTACTCGTATTTTGTGTAATTTATCTAAAATAAATTAAAATAGAGAGATATAAAGAAAAATGTACATAAAATAAATTATTATAAAACGTGCATCATAGATTGTTCAATTATGAAAATTCTAAAAATGAAAATTCTAAAATTTTCAATTAAATACTACCATAAATACTTAATACTCAACTTTATTATATTTTATTTTTAAAGGTACGAATACTACGAAGCGGCCGATTGTAAATGCCAGCAATGCTCTTCTTTGGATACCAGTTGCGAAGGTCTCCGGTACAGATCACAACGTTCCGAACCGGATGCTGGATTTAAAAGGATCATCAGAAATTATTTCTATTAACATTCTGAATACCGTCGTCCAATTTAGTTCAATAATATATATGTAATTTCTGTTATTTATGTTATTTAAGTTATTGAATAAATAAAAAAGCAACATTAAACATATTTTTCAATTTATTATTGTTTCATTTACCATCAATATTTCCTAGCTTTACGGTTTTTTAGAGTAACAAATATAATTACAAATTATTAAATAATTATCATTGGTAGTTATATTTGTTCGTATATTATTATTTGTAATAATTGTATTTGTTACTGTAAAAAACCGTAAATAATTATATAATTACCTAACTACATCACCACGTCACTATATAAAGCACACTTTATTTGTTAACATATTTAACCCTTATAATAAATACCTTAATTTGAGTCCAAGGATCCAATCTTAGATCTGACATACCCTGTACATTTTAAAATCATTTTAAACTAAGCACAATGCCTTCCCACATATACCTATAAAATATTTTGTTTCTACATCTTTCCGTTTTCGTAGAATCAACCGAGGCGAATAAGGTGCGCCAACCTGTATAGAAGTATTTTTATATAAAAAACCGATCTCTTTAATTTTGCAAGACAGTTTAAAAACTGCAATTATGTCTCTTTGTTGAAAAATATAGAAAATAGTACTTTAGAAATAAAGATAGTAATGCTACAGAAGAGGCGTTGCCATCAATCGGACACAGAAGGCTAAACTTTACCCAGAATGGTCCTTTCAATTGACAACAGAACCCTTAGTACACTTATAACATTAAATGACATAGAAATAGTAGGAGTATAATGTTTAATTTATAAAAATACAGGGTGAGTCTTAAATAAGTGCAAATATTTTTAGGGCCGGTAAATCTCGATAAAAGAAACATATTTTCTTTTTTTACCGTTTTTCAAAAACGTCCAAAATAACTGAGTTAATGTGGTAGATTTGCGTCCTAGGCAAAAGATGAGCCTGATAATGTAACAACGACGTCACCTAGAATACATTTTCCTTAAAGGAATAAAATGCTCATTGTGTTTACTCCGAAAATTTAAAAAAATGCTTAAATTTTGAAAACCACTGAATCTTTCTTGGGTTTTCTTTCTTGTAAATTTAATCTATTACCTATGTTGCCATATTATCAAGAAATTATGTTCTTTAACTAAAAACAAAAAAAAACAATTTTTCAAAATTTTATTTTCGCGAAAAAAACATTCATATAATCGTGTTTCTGAGACCGAAACATACTATCCTTGAACATATATGCACTTATTTAAGAAAGACTTCTCTGTATATATCTACAATCTATTATAGTATAAGTAAAATAACTAACGTACCAAATTTATTAAAGTAATAAAATCACTTTGCAATAATACTATTAAAGTTATAGACGGAGAGCTGGCTACATAAAAAACCTTATCATCATTACATGGCTGATTTTTTGTACAAAGTATCCTTTTGTGTAGCCATTGTGAAATAGTCATGTCTGCCAGCGCGATCCCGGGGCTTAAAGCGGGGGCGGCCAATCGAAAGGGTGAAATTTTGGCACTAAAAATATTATAAGGTACACGGGTTATAATTGCCAAATAGCTTTTATTTATTATTAAAAAACGTGTAAAATTTTTTGACAGACATTTTTCTCGTTGCTGAAATGCCGGCAGACAACGCGAAAGAGGCATAGAATTTTAACAAAAGAAAATCATCTCATACATGCATATCGATTAGTGGAATGTCATGTTTACTGTTGATTAATTTAAAAAGCGGTATGCAAAAGGGCAGACAAAAAAAATCGTTATTGAAATAATAAAAAATATATTTATAATATAATGGTATAATATATGATTTATCTATACTTAAATGGATGAGGCGGCGAGCGTTCCCTGAAAGCGCTACAGTAATGTCGCACTTTTAATGACTGTCTGCAGCTGATTTAGCCACGGTCTTTTTATCTGCCCTTTTGCATACGACTTTTAAAATAAATAACTATATGGCATTTCACCAATCGGCATGCAAATATGCCATATATTTTTCTTTTCATTCTTCAAATTTCATTTTTTAGTAATTTTTAAAATTTCATGCCTCTTTCGCGTTGTCTTTCGGCATTTTAGCGAATAAAAAGAGTTCTGCCAACAATTTTTCACGTTTCTTAATAATAAATAAAAGTTATTTTTGCGATTATAACTCGTGTATCTTATAATATTTTTAGTGTTAAAATTTCACCCTTTCCATTGGCCGCCCCCGCTTTAAGCCCCGGGATCGCGCTGTCAGACATGACTATTTCGTAATGGTTACACAGAAGGATATTTTACACAAAAAATTGTAAAATGTAAAAATGATAAGGTTTTTTATGTAGCCAGCTCTTAGACTATTAGTATAGTAAAAAAAAGTCATAATTGAAACACTTCTAATATAACTTATCTGGTAGTAAACGAGTTATTAAATTTTAACTCTCATTTTCACTAGCTTAAGAAAAAATAATGACGTTTCTAGTCATATTCTATAGAATTGTGATTATGGTAAATTATTGACCTCAAAAATGGCAAAAAGTATTTTTGGAAGTTTTAAGTTTATTTTTTATTTTTCTTATTAAAACTTTATATTTTTATAGATATTTAAACAATACAATTTTTTTATGTCTTCATCACAAACTTTACAACCTTAAGAAAGAGACTACATTTAAAAGAATATTAAAAACGGATACTAACGAAACAATTTTATTTATATCTATATAATGATGTAAGATCAGACAGTCAATTGTTAACCAGGCTGCCTTTTTATATAATGCATCTCAACCGTATCTTTTTACATACTTTCCATTTTTAGAAGGAATTTTATTGTATGTAATATTTTATTTTTAAATTTTATATAGGATATTGGATTACCTATTTTAGTCATAATTAAATATAACTTGTAGACTGTAATCATCGTTCTCTTATTAGTATTAAAAGTGTATCAGGTACTAAAAAGTTATGATAATATAAAATTCTAATGATATACAATATGTTATTTACTATACCTCAAGTAACTTACTTACGAGAAGAAACATACTTACTTTCACAAAAAATCGCAAATTCCAGTTTGGTGAAGGCAGTCTAAGACAATTTTGACAAAATTGAAACATGCAGATTAGTTCTTATAAGAATTTTATATTCCTCTTTCTTTCACTAGAGATCGTATGGTGCCTAAATCTATACAGGGTTGTTCACCACATACGACACGGAGTATTGTAGCTAAACGATTAGATTTTTACAAATTTTAAGTTTTGGGTTCGTTGAAGGACTATTAGAGCTACAATCTAGAAATAATTTTACAAGATACAGAGTGTCCCAAATAAGTAAAAAATGCTATAGTTGTATTTTTTTAAATAGAACACCCTGTATATTATTCTATTTTTAGATTCTACGATTGAAATAAAGGTAAATTTTATTAAGGTTTATCACACTAAAACCTTACCGTTTTTGAAATATTTTCAATTTTATGAAATTGCAGTAAAAATTTTAAGCCTTCATTTCTCCAAGGTTATCAAAGTTTTTAATACTAAATATTTACTGAAGTTTATTTATTGATCAGTTATTGTGTTGCAAAAATAAAAATTATACTACCTTATACAGAGTGTCTAAAATTTTATTTTAAATAATTACTAGCTTTAAACGGCAATAACTTGTTTAATTTAAATAGAACGCCCGGTATATTTTAGGAGAATCAGATTAAATTATATTATACCACTTTTTACCTATCCCTCCAAGTTTTCGTAGAAAATGCATTTTCTTATAATTCAGACCTCATATCAATATACCCATGGAATATTGACATTTTAGATTGTTTTTGAAGCAACAAATGCACAAAATGTACAGGCTAGTAATATTATCGTTTTTAACAAAATGATAATATTACTAGCCCATTTGTATGCAAAAAGAAAACTATTCAAAATCTTCATAAAATAGTATACCATTAATTAAATATACCACCATTATTTCCGCCCAAATACTAATTAATTACATACTTAATTATGTTCGTGAATAAATTATTCTAAATAAATGTGGATTTGAATCAGAAATCAATATAATAATAAGTTATAAAAATGAATGTCTTTGTTGTTACAAATAAGCATTTGTCAAAAAATGAAATATTTTTAAGGTGTTACTTTTTACCACACTGTATAATACACATAAAAAATTCAGTTTTTTAGTTTTTGGAGCAATTATTATTAATCAACGCAAACAGTCAATTAATGTAGTTTGAATACTGGAATCATATTAATTGGTCCTCTTTAACAAATATTTAAACAGTTTTTTCTTTTATTTTTTAATGAAATAAACAAACTATATCGACAATATTAGTTTCTGTACTCTTTAAAAATTTAGTACATCTTTAAAAATAATCTAAAATGTCAGTATTCCATGGGTATATTGATAAATGAATTAAAATTACAAGAAAATGCATTTTCTACGGAAACTTGAAGCTATAGGTAAAAAATAGTATAATACAGTTTGATAGAAAATTAAATTGTGCATCTGATTCTCATAAAATATACAGGGTGTTCTATTTAAATTAAACAAGTTATTGCCGTTTAAAGCTAGTAATTATTTAAAATTGAAAATATTTCAAAAACTAAGTGTAATAAAACTTTATCAAATTTACCTATATTTTAATCGTAGAAACTAAAAATGTAATAATATACAGGGTGATCCATTTAAAAAAATACAACTTTCAAATTTTTTATTTATTTGGGATACTCTGTATCTTGTAAAAATATTTTTAAATTGTAGCTCTAATAGTCCTTCAACGAACCCAAAACTTACAATTTGTAAAAATCTAATCGTTTAGCTACAATACTCCGTGTCGTATGTGGTGAACAACCCTGTATAAAAATAACAATTGACATGTTCAAGCATTTAGTACAGCGAAGTGTTTCAGCTAGTAGTTACATACACGGTGGTCCATCGAAAACATTCCGCAAGGCTTAACGGCCAGGGTAATCTATTTTTCAGAAAATTCAAAAACACGTCAATTTTGTTTATGGGACAACTTTTGCCCCAAAAATGATTGCAATATCTTCAACCCTCTAAGCGGGGGTGTCATCCCCTACTTTTTTCAAATGGGAAGGGGGGTCAA